ATATATATATATATATATATATATATACACCTTGCTACGTGTACTGCGTTAGGCTAACCGAGACTTGTCATTTGCACTTATATATTGTTGCTCTTTTGTTAGTTTTGACTGCTTTTATTGTCCTCATTTGTAAGTCGCTTTGGTTAAAAGCATCTGCTAAATGACTAAATGTAAATGTAATTCGGTCTAGTTTTCTGATAAAAATACTGAAACATCCTAAAACAAAATAAATTTAATTGAGAATCAAAATTGTGTATATATCAAAGAATATATCTTGTATTAAGTTATATTTTCCTTACCATGTTGGCAAATCATTTCTTCTTGTTTTAAGTGTAACCTTAACCTTACTAAACTTTACTTAAAGGGGTCATATAATGCTATTTAAAAGATCATTATTTTGTGTATTTGGTGTAACAGAATATGCTGACATGCTTTAATGTTCAAAAAACACATTATTTTTCAAATACTGTACATTATTGTAGGTCCTCTATGCCCCGCCTCTCTCAAACACGTCGTTTTCTACAAAGCCCCTCCTTCCGACAAGCGCAGTCTGCTCTGATTGGCCAGCTGACCGTTTTAAGTAGGTGTGGCTGACTCTTAACTTTTATAAAGAATATCTCTTTGGATTTGAGACTTTAGTCTTTGCAGTCTTTTACAGATCTTCTTTATGCACCAAGAGCTTGTAACACTTCAAAGAGAAAGGAAAACTTGAAATCGCATCATATGACCCCTTTAACTTTCTCAAGAAAACATATCATGTTGATGTTTCAATATTTTTAGTGGAAAACAGAACAAAAAAGAAAATTAAGAAATTACCAATTAAGAAAATGTGTGTGTGTGTTACTGTGTGTGTGTGTTTTTTAGAGTTATTACATAAAACAGGTGATTTTGTGAAGTCACTTTATAGATTTTTTTAGCAATCTTCTGTAGTCAAGTACGTAAATTAGTTCATATGTAAGTTAGTGGCTTAGTGTTAGTGTTTATTAGTATTTTTTCCTTCTAGTTAGTGCAGAATGAGGAATCAACTAGTCAATCCCACATACCTATAGTTTGGATACGATGATGCCTTCAAAGCAGTAACAGAGTTATAAGAGAGTTATAATTAAAAAAGAGGAGATTTGTCCTTGATTTACTTGTCCCAGAGTTCACTGTTTGATTTATTTAATAGGAGATGGTTATGATGGTAATACAGGGCCGACCCATTAACCTGGGGATACGAACTGTTTGTATCACTTGTCTTGTGTGTTTGGATTTATTTGGACATTCGTCCTTACCCGAGGCTAATGTGTCCCACAGGGATAGCCATTATGCACATCACCGTCCTCATAACTTGTTTTCATTCACACTGTCTCTTTAGCATTCACACTTAATTCCCTCATGTTGCTATTTGAACTCTGAACTCTGTTTCTGTGGCAGTATTTGAATGAGATTCTTCAGGAGCACAAGCAGCCTATTGTGTCCACTGTTTCCCCTGCAGATGTTCAGGCCGCCTTCAACACCATCGTCACCAGGATTCAACGATTGTAAGTCTCACTGTGCACTCACAATACACAAATAAACCCTAGCACGCTTTATAAGTGAGAACATTAATTGAGTGGGTATTTTTGTGAGAACTTGAGCATGATTTTTTGTCTTTCGGTGTTTGTCATTGTGTCAGCTGCAACTGTAATGCACAAACACCACCCACCATTAAAGTGGCAGTGGCGGGCGATCAGAGTTACCTCAGCACGGTCCTTCGCTGCTTTGTGGAGCAGCTCGCCAACAAGACGCCCGATTGGTTGAGCTACATTCGGTTTCTAGTCATTCCTGTCGGTAAGCAGAATAAAGCATCTGAAGCACATGCCAAAATTATCTCTCAAAAATTATTTCTTTTTAATATATTATTTTGATATATATTTTATATGTTAATGACAATGGGTTTTCATAGCTGCTTTTTCATATACACCTCCCTCAGTAAAACTGTATGTGTCAGAAAAACGTGAAGACAGGTTTTGTGACAGATTTTTCATATTTCTGTTTTGGCGGCTTAATAGGAGGGTTCACACAATTCAATTAAAACATGCATTATGTTCCTAATAGAATTGCCGCCCAGCTGGTGGTATTATTTATGCACCAAAACCAGTTTTTTTTAGACATATTTGGTGCTTAGGGAGTGTTTATTTTGGACCTTTTTTTTTATCTGATGTGAAAGACAACCAATTTATTCTCTGGTATTTCTTCAATGTGAACAAAATGTACTTTGTTTTTGATCAGGCTGTCATCCACTGGCTAAGTATATCTCAACATTTGACAGTAAGTTCAATAACATCTTCATGGACGCCGGATGGAGGGATGTGTTCGGGAGGTTAGAAGCTCCTAATTCAGGTTCGAATCTCTGCTAATATGGGCTCTTCAAATTTGATGCCTTTATTATCTGATTTGATGCTGGTTCTTAATGCGTGTGATGTCCACAGATAATATTGATGTGGCCGGACGCGTCTCACAGTATCTGGCTGGAGCCAGTCTCTCCCACCAGTTCCCTATTTCTGAAGCAATGCTCACCTATAAACAAAAAAGGTATGGTCTTGTGTATGCATGCTTGAGAATATCTAATTAATGATGTGGCACATGTCAGTAGGCGCGTTTCCATTACAGATTTGCACAAAACTTTGGCAATATTTTATAAATGTCGATAAAAAAGTATTACGAAATGACGGCGTTTCCATTAACCGATGTTATACGACTAAAACAAATTTTTTCTTCTCGTGATAAATCATGGCAACGGATTTTGATGGGATTTTGGCTACACTAGCCATTATATTTAATTGAAGGAGGCGTATGCGTGTATCTTGACAGAAGCAGCGCGGAGAGCAGCTTCTGGGACGTGCCGTGGCGTGACTGTTAACACAAGCTTTGACAAGAGTGGCCGTGATCAGCTTCGGTGGCCGTTTCAGAGCCGTAACGCACCGCAGACATGTGCAGTGTAAATAGTCTAAGCATTAATGGCAGGGAAAGCCCCTTATACTTGAGAGCAGCCACATATGAAGTGTTTCTTGGAGGTTATAGTACATTGAAGAATGATCATATGACTTTTTACATACGCCATGTGACCTGTAAATGCGAAAAAGCCGTTTCCATTTGTAGCGTCTGCTTAGAATCATGCATGATCTTTGGGGTTTTATGGC